CTACACATGAAATACAAGCAAGCGATAGTTTGTTGTCGTAGTTTTACAAGCGCGGAAAATTTTTAACTTTTAAATATTTCATGCACAATATATGAAAACTAGTTTTATTTTGATGTTTTTGTATAATTTAAGTATGTAATTTTCTGAAAATCACCAAATGAGAATGAGCTTTTTTAATTTTTAAACATTTTTTGGCCTTATTCAGTTTGACATGTGCATGCCGAAATCTACACATGGAATAGCATTGCCTTCCACTTCGCGTTTTAAATCTGACACCCTATGAAACAAGCTGGAAAAAAGTATGTTTAAACAAAAAAGCCCATTCTCATTTGATGATTTTCAGAAAATTAGGTACTTAAATTATACAAAAACATCAAAATAAAACTACTTTTCATATATTGTGCATGAAATATTTAAAAGTTAAAAATTTTCCGCGCTTGTAAAACTGCGACAACAAACTATCGCTTGCTTGTATTCCATATGGCATTGTGTAGATTTGGCATGCACATGTCAAAAATAAAAGCAAAAAAATGTTTAAAAATTAAAAAAGCCCATTCTCATTTGATGATTTTCCAAAAATTAGGTACTTAAATTATACAAAATCATCAAAATAAAACTACTTTTCATATATTGTGCATGAAATATTTAAAAGTTAAAACTTTTCCGCGCTTGTAAAACTGCGACAACAAACTATCGCTTGCTTGTATTCCATATGGCATTGTGTAGATTTTGGCATGTGCATGTCAAAAATAAAGGCAAAAAATGTTTAAACATTAAAAAAGCCCATTATCATTTGGTGATTGGCAAAAAATTAGGTACTTGAATTATCCAAAAACATAAAAATGAAGCTAGTTTTCATATATTGTGCATGAAATATTTAAAGGTCAAAAATTTTCCGCGCTCGTAAAACTGCGACAACAAACTATCGCTTGCATAGGTTTGGCATACACATGTCAAAAATAAGGGCAAAAAAATGTTTAAAAATTAAAAAAGCCCATTATCATTTGGTGATTTTCAGAAAATTAGGTACCTAAATTATCCAAAAACATCAAAATAAAGCTAGTTTTCATATATTGTGCATGAAATATTTAAAAGTTAAAAATTTTCCGCGCTTGTAAAACTGCGACAACAAACTATCGCTTGCTTGCATTCGTTATGGCATTGTGTAGATTTGGCATGCACATGTCAAAAATAAGGGCAAAAAAATGTTTAAAAATTAAAAAAGCCCATTATCATTTGGTGATTTTCAGAAAATTAGGTACCTAAATTATCCAAAAACATCAAAATAAAGCTAGTTTTCATATATTGTGCATGAAATATTTAAAAGTTAAAAAGTTTCCGCGCTTGTAAAACTGCGACATCGCTGTGAACATGCAATTTGGAGTCTTTTGGCGAACATTTCAGTTGCATACTGTAAGTTCGAAAAGAGAAATAAAACAACCTTTAACATGGTAAAAACGGAATTTTCTGCTTGTTGCTTATAATTGAATATTTTCCCTAACTTTTATATTGCATTTGAATGCCTGAATATGTTAATGAAAATGTTTCCAATGCTTTCTAAATTGACAATTGTTTTCTAACTTTATCAAAACAAGGTCACAAGTTGTGTCATTGTAAATTACGCAAGTGACCTGGTCATAAATCTTTAAATTGAAAAAAAAGCCCACAAAAGCCCATTTTCTAACCTTTTCAGATCGAAAGTATAACTAATTATAGATAATTTAAAGGGTTGAAGTTAACTTTTTTTCCACTCGGTCTGGCTAAAAACCTCGACTACAATTTGTCATTGCCTGAAAAATGTAAATATATTTTATGATAAAATCGCTATGCCTTCAAATAATTTCACATTTTAAAAATGCTTTTCCAACTCCAGCGATGTAATTTGCAATACTAATTAATTGTCGGAGTCTCTATTTTATATCAAGTTAATTTTTTTCCATTTTAAGGATAAATTTACCTTAAAAATTTGCACTTTTTGATTGCCCTTTAAATATTTTTGTCTCTTGTTTTTGTTTCGCTTCATCTTTAAAAATCCCGCTTCATCCGCGCATTTCGCACGCTCGCGCCAGTCTCCCGTGCATCACACATGGATCAGGCAAATATTAGCGCGTTTCACCGCCCGTGTTTTACTACGCCCTGGTACTGCGTATAACGTTATACCGACCGCGTATAATGTCTCAATCACCGCGTATAATGCTAAAAGCACCTCGTATGTCTCAAACACCGCGTATATTATCAAAAATAAATGTCTCAAGCACCACGTATAATGTTAAAAGTACCTCGTACAATGTTGCGTGTAGCCCATATATCTTGATATATGTCAAAATCGTCGCGTATAATGCTCGAACTCGAAGTGTAGCACCGCGTATGATGTAAAGAGCACCTCGTATAACGATAAAAGCACCACATATATAATGCTAAAAGCAACGAACGAAATGAAATTCCGCTGTGGCTTTCCATAAGGCTCGTCACGCTCGTTGAAGCCATTGTATACAAATCACAAACGCAACATCAAATATGATATGAATAGTAATATGATGACCTACCACCGTCACAGTCGTGAATACTCGCGCAGAAAGCTTCGTCAGAAAGGTTTGAATATTAACAACCTCCGCCTTCATAAAATAGCCGGACTTCGGCATTAAAAACAACCGTTCTGGGCATGCGCTGCGCCAATTATCCAACCAGAAACCAGAATTTCTTGTATAAGATAGTATTGCGTATCCCGCCACATGAAAATCAGCGGAACACGAGACATGCGATTCACGAATAGCGTGAGTAAGCAATAAATTGCGTGGAAATTAGCTATTTCTACAGGGTATCAGTTACTAGACAACAAAGAGGTCAAAGAGCAGACAGCAATATTGCGTAAACTTTAAATAAATGACAAATGAAAGCGCTGAAAAATTACCATAATTATATTTAAATTTTCAGAATAAGCAAATTAGCAGTGGTTTTGGCTTCACTATAAAACATTTACACATTTTTTTGGAAATTGTTAGTCCCGCCCGGCGGGACAGCGGGACCGCTAACTACGCCACTGGTGGGCATACCAGTTTTTTAGAGCATCAAGCTTGTCTGAGTAAACGCGTTTGTACGCCATGGTCGCTTGAGATGCTGTTCGCTTCAGACATTTGGCGCAATTGAATTTGGCGCCCGAAATTTTGTAAACTTATATTCTGTAGTTCTAATATGCAGTAATTGGTGATGACAAGTCGCTTCATAAACTAGATTAGTTAATATTTTTCAATGATTAAACTACATCTCATTACTTGGCATTAAATTCCATGCAAGGGAAAATAATCCAGGCTATTAATTGGAAACAAATGTCAACACCTTTCACACTTTTCCCATTAATGCTGCCTTAAGCAACACCTAAAAGTTAATCCTGTTTAAACCCGTGCGGCTCGTCATTGATTCGCTGTAGGATGCTTATATTAGATATAAGATATTACATTGCTATATTTTATACTTACATACACTTTAGCCAACTATATGGTATGTGTATAAAAAATATGTTATATCTAACATTGCGGTTCTCGTGTGGGACGTAATTCAAAGTATTTGGCAAAATATATATTTAAACACATTTGACAGACATGTTGGACGTGATAAATAAAAATATAATACGAATATATGATATTTCGATCGCGTTGCGGTTCTCATGTGGGAAACGCAATTTAAAGTATTTGGCAAAATATATTAAAACGCATTTGGGAGACATGTTGGAGGTAATGAATAAAAATATAATATGAATATATGATATCTCACAATGCGTTCTCATGTGGGAAAGGTAATTCAAAGTATTTGGCAAAATATATTTAAACGCATTTGACAGTCATACAGTTCGAGGTAACAACTAACAAATAAAAATATAATATGAATATATGATATCTCACAATGCGATCTCATGTGGGAAACGTAATTCAAAGTATTGGGCAAAATATCACATTTGACGGAGATGTTCGAGGTAATAAAATTGAATTTTGCTGTGACATATCGCGCGGCGTTGACAGAAAAGTCTTCATTGTAGGCTTTTATTTCTACAAGCAACAGTTTCTTACTGTAATAACACCAATTCGGTTGGATAGATTTACTGTATAGGGGCGTCATTTTTGAACTCTATTGTATGTAAGGGAAATAGACGACTAGTGTATGGGAGAAATTTTGAGGCATCCAAGGGAGACATTTATCTCATAAATCAAAGAGTTGAAATTTGAGACGGCTTCCGTTTTTGTGTTCGGGTCATTAACTATGCTATATTGGTTTATAGCGCCCTGCGGGTTAAATGTCAAAACTTCGTAAGTAGATTTACAGCCATGCCTTCGCTTAATACCGATAACAATCGTTTTGGCACTGTGAAGGTAGCCGCGGATTGGGCCCCAGATTCGGCCTTAGATTGGACCTCACATTCAACTGTATTCTGGCTACTTTTAAGGTATTTTTTACTTTAAATTATCAGTAACATGAGCAATGCAAACTCCTGCACCATATAGCTGAGTTTCAAAACAATTAGGGAGGCCGATTTTGTATAAACGCTTGCTGAATATAGATGTTAGCACAGTGTAATACTATTGTCTAACATTTAATATATAAACAAAAGAAATGAGTGTAATTCTATAAACAAATTAAAGCAATAAGCACCTTATTAATCCTTGCCGTTTTATGTATATTTTATTTATTTACTAGCTTTGTCATTAATGATTGGTGATCCCTACAGGGCTTATTGCCCCATTCTCGACAAAGGACGACACGATCGAGTGACATTTAACACAGCCAGTTTTAAACGATTGTGCTACATTAATGTCAAATATAATGGACGTTGGTGAGATGGTACCCCAATTTGCTTCACTTCATTAGAAATATATGTACTAGAAATATATGTACACGTGCTCGTAAATATGGCGGATGTAACTTGATGACAGACCGCTTTTTTTTACATGATTTTATACTCTTTGTGCATATTTATGGAGTTTTCTACTTGAAAACAAGTAAATAAGATGGAAGACCATCTCCAGCCGTCAAAGACTGGAGATGAAAAGGGCTTGGATGAAAGTTTTATGAGCGAAATTGAAGGCATGTTAACTGTGATGTCGGAAGAAATCAAAACATATCAAGACGGGGATATTTACTGTATTGAAATTCCTCAAAAAGATCTTTTTGATAAATGGATGTTATCTCTGAAACTACGGTATTGGTTAGATCTTGGCGGTCGTGATAACTATGATGTAGCATGGCTTCGAAAGATCGATGATAACAGCACATTAGAAGAAATTTTAATAAATATCAAGAAATGTGATACGTCAGAAGCGTCTGCAGGGTCAATTCCAAGCGAGAATCTATTTTCAATCAAAGCTATTATATCTAAGATGAAATTACTTATCGAAGGAAAGTTTATCGACATATGGAAAAGAAACGAGTACCAGAAATTGATCTGTTTAGTATCAAAGCTATGTCTGTGCCCTGATGTCAACCAAGAAACCGCCGGTGAACTTTACACGAACGAATTTTATGGTCAAAACGTACCTGATCATATCATTAACCTTGATAATGTCTCGTTAGATGTGTATGCGGATTCCGACTCGGAGGATGACCCTAGGTGTCAAGAACCTGAAGAAATTGTTAATGAAACGCCAAAGAAAGTAAAACCCCCCAGGAAAACAAGAATCAAGTCGCGTAAATTATTGGCGAGTAACTTGACACCCCAAAGTCACAAGGAAAAACATATGAAGGCTCATTCAACTAAGAAAACATATCCAAATTCGGAAGTAAAAGATTTACAACAAGTACTTGAGGCGGTAAATTCTTGCAACAAAAGAATAGATAACTTGGAAACCATTACTGCCAATCTGGACAAAAATTTGACTAATTCTGTTTTTGACTGTAAAGTTGTGAACAATATGGTGTGTGAATTGAAAAGCGAGTTATTCACATCACTCGACAGCAAATTGAAGCACCAACTATCAGTAATGCGAGAAGACCAAAATAGTTTCAAAAATGAAATGGAAGAGAAATTAAAAAAAGCAGAAACAGAAGTGAAACGGCTCCAAGGTCGGGTCGGGTCACTTGTGGAAGAGAAAACCAATCTGTTGAAGCGGATAAAAAGCTTAGAAATTGACAATAAAACATTTAAAGACGAAGTAAGTTCGCTAAATACAGCTATAAAAGTAAACTATAATGATGATATCAACACAAATCCAACGTTAATACAGTGTGAAAATTCAGTTGTTGATTCAACCAAAGAAGCTAATCCAGACGCTGCTGCTAATAATTCTCCCAATATCACTGCTGCCGAAAACCCTGACACCGAAACTCCCAACGTTAAAATTCCGGACAATGGAAATGCTACCAATCATGACGAATATGACTTTGTCATGTTATGTGACTCGAACAGGAAATTCTTAAACATAAGTAAGCTGTGTTCGAGTAGACATAGCAAAATCATTCCCTGTAATACAACAAAAAAGGCCAAAGAAATTCTAGAGTCTCCCAGATTTGATGTCAAAAAAGGAATCATCATAAACACTGGAGTCAATGACCTTGAGAACCTATCTGCAGGAGAGATTGTAAAATCCCAAGTTCAAATGGCAAATATGGCGGCAAAAAGATTTCCGGAAAGACAAATTTTTCTATGT